TGTCCAAGTCACAGCATGCGACGTCACTGCTGTCCAAGTCACAGCATGGTTATAGCATGTGGCGTCACTGCTGCCCAAGTCACAGCATGTGGCGTCACTGCTTTCCTAGTCACAGCATGCGATGTCACTGCTGCCCAAGTCACAGCATGCGGCGTCACAGCTGTCCAAGTCACAGCATGCGGCGTTAGTGCTGTCCCAGTCACAGCATGCGGCGTCACATATGCTTGTGTCACAGCATAAGGTCACTGCGAGGCACGTCATAGCGAGCAGTGTCATTGCTGCTTATGAGAGACCTCACTTCTACTCACGTCATAGCGTGCGGTGTCACCGCTGCTTAGGTCCCGTCATATGGTTACTATTGCCCACGTCATAGCGTGCGGTGTCACTGCTGCTTATGCCACATCATATAAGTACTGCTGCACACGTCATAGCGTGCGGTGTCACTGGAGCTTATGTCACATCATATGGTCACTGCTCCTCACGTAATAACGTGCCGTGTCACTGCTGCATGTGCTTACATCACATGGTCACTGCTGCCCACGTCATAGCGTGCGGTGTCACCGCTGCATGTGCTCACATCGTATGGTCACTGCTGCCCACGTCATAAGGTGCGGTGTCACTGCTGCTCATGGCACATCATATGGTTACTGCTGCCCACATCATAGAGTGCGGTGTCTCTGCTGATAATGTCACGGCAACTACACACTGCCGCTCGTGTCAAAGCATGTAGCCTTTGCTGCTGACATCCCAACATGAGTTGACACTACTGCCAAGTCACAGCATTATGTTAATTTGACGTTTTATGTCACATCCTCTGGTCACTGATGTCTTTGACAGCAAGGGTGCTCACTCCTCCTCATGTCCAGCATCCTATCCCTGCTGCTCATGTCAAAGCATGTGGTGTCTACTGTTGGCGTCACAACATGATGCACCACTGCTGCCAAGTCAAAGCATAAGGTCTATTTCCTGTTTATGTCACAGCATCTCATCAATGCTTTTTATGCCTGTCCATGTGCTCACTCCTGCTAATGTCACAGCATCATATCACTACTGCTCATGTCAAAGCATGTAGTGTATAGGGTTGGAGTCACCACATGAGGCGCTACTGCTGCCAAGCCACAGCATAATGGCACTAATATTGATGTCATAGTATCCCATCACAACTTTTTATGCCAGCGCATGTGCTCGCTCCAGCCCATCACACAACAGCATATCCCACGGGCGCATGTCAAAGTAAACTGTCTAGTGCTGGCGTCACAACAAGAGGCGCTACTACTTACAATTCACAATATAATGTCTATTTCCACTTTCTGTCACCGCATTTCATCCCTGCTTTCTATGACTGCGCATTTTTGGGTTCGATGTGAAGGGCATCATCTCGGATCAAGGGACCACGTTTAGAGGCGCTGCGGCAGAGCGAAAGCTGGATCATCAGGTGGATTGGTGGCACGTGAAGCGGACACTGTACAATCTCTTCTGCAAGGAGCTTCAGGATCAGGTGCGGATGGCTGTGGAGGTGGACAAGGCTAGCTGTATCGAGGAGCTATGGTTGGCTAAGGTGGAAGAGTTAAAGCAGTGGTTGAGGACCAAAGGATTGGAGAAAGAGGAAAAGGGGACACTCAAAGCATCACTTGTGAAGGCGGTGTGTGAAGCCATGGGTACCATTACATATGTGAAGATGACCCCTGATGAAGCAAAGTGGAAGTTTCCTGAGTTGCGAAAAGTCCGACGGCTAGGAGGAGAACGGGCGGCAGTAGATGTCCTAGTGGGATATGGCGAGGTGCGTCCTGATACTACTGGAGAGATGCAGCCCATCGTTCGAGATGCTGCGGTTGACGAGGCGGATGCGGGCGCAACCCAAGTTGATGTGCAATGGGCGGATGTGGAGGAGTTATGGCAATACGATATCCATCCTGTGCGTGGTGCGAGACCATCGTCATTGGCTAGTTCTTTCATCGTGCACGCACATGCGGGCCCATGAAGTAACTTACGATTCATCGGCGGGACGACTCCGTGGGCCAGCGATGATGAAGCTACTGGTATGAACACTTTGTGAAACTTACTTTCCATGCCATATTCAAATTGGAGTACACCACTTGTTTCCTAAAATTGTTCATACTGCTCGTTTTGACCTGACAGAGACGATGACTGGCTGCAACAACGATGGTGCAGCGAGTGAGACCGACAACCACGGAAGTGACGTCGGAGAGAATTTGCCCCGTTGGACTGGGCGGCGAAAACGGAAACGTGGCGGAGATGAGATAAACGCCGGCGATGAGGAGAGTACGGTGGCGCAGCACTTCACCTCGCATTTCTTCCATGTGATGATCCGTTGCGCGGCGCTGTTGAAAGCGGGCACCCCTATGACTCCCGAAGATGTGGCAAAGGAAATTGGGACGGCACCTAACCACTAGGCAGGTGACCACTCCGAGTGTGGACGGAACGGGAGTATTCCTCCAAGGTGTGTTACCGAGAAGTGGGGCAGGGAATGTGCACTTTATGAGCCTGGATCGGAAACGCACAAGGCGGTTCTTACATGGTTCAAGAAACTGTGTTCGCCAGACAAGGTGAAACCCTATGTTCACGGAGCCAACAGTTCCATAAACGAGTCTTTCCATTCCCTGATTATCAAATACGCTGCTAAGCGTATCAGGTAGTCTTGAGGCACGAGTGGGGCTGGCTGTCCTGCATTGGAATAACTCGATGGACAGGCTGGTCACATCGTATCGCACTCGTGTACGGCAAGTAACTCGGGTGCGACGGGCCAACAAGGATCGAACCCTCGGACCTATGGATTGGTCTTGGGTTGATCGGATTATGGAGGACTGGCAACGATCGCTGGGGTTTGGAGTCGACAATGAGATTATGGAGATGGCCCCAAAGAGGCAGGCGCAACATCCTGTCGACTTACCTTGTGGAGGGTGACACCCATCTGTTGTTGGGCCGGTTACTCCTGTGCGAGAAGGTGGCATAGTGTCCGCGGCCTTACTTCGACGCGCGGTGCTGGGCGACGTATTTTATGTAAGATCCGAACCACATTCTCGCCAACCCTTACTCTTGTCTTATGTAATATATTTTGACGCTCTCCTCTTGCGATCATGTTGCAGGTGATGCCACCAACCATCCTCGATAAACGTTTTGGAAACACTTACGCTGACGTGGAGGGATCTAAATCACCATTTTGTCCAACACGCCGCGTCAATTTAGATGTCGGCGATGCTGGTGAGCGCCTTTGAGGGTAATAGTGCCTATCCTTGTCCATATCACTGCTACTTTCACCCATAACATGTGCATCTCTCGCTTTGCCCTCTATCTTCACTTTCAGACCCGGTATGCCCTCTCCCAGCCTTGTCCCATGCTCCCATCCTACTCCCTTCAATGCCCATCTTACGCCCTCATGCTTCAATTCCCCAGTCTAGTCATTCTAAACCCTCCACCTCAGTCAATCATAGAGCATTATTTTTCCCTCTCATTCCAACCTTGTTCTCTCAGCTCCTGGACGTGCTTTTGGGGAAGGATACTGGTGTGGAGTTGGTGCCATACGAGTAGAGGGCCATGGTGGTGTCTCTGTGCCTGACCCCAAAGGAGGCCTAGGCGCCCTTTGATGTCAGCCGAGTCGTGGACCCCTCCGAGCACAACCTCAACCACCAATAGGTGCGAGTGCCATCAGTCATGCGAATCAACGGTACATGCGACAGCGTAAGTCAAGTGCAAACCATTGATTTATCATTTACCATGAGGTATCTTTCGTAAACCCTTCGTTCGTCTTTGTCGACTTAGCATGCATTGTGATACTACCCAATTATCCCCTTTGCAACAAAATACAAGCTGCTCCTACTCCATCCGGTTCCATGTCTTCTTGGTTCTAACCTTTGATGCATACTACAACCACTGATTTATCTTTTTGTGCTCGTTTCACTATCATGGCACTAATGTTGCCCATGCCTCACACCCCTCCCCACACATGCGTTCAACCAGCCGCATGGACTTTTTGTCAACAGCTTTCAAGGTCAGGAGTGGCCCCTTATTGCTCCCAACGTGGTGCTCTCATTACCATTCATCTCTTTCTTTGCTCTACTTCTCCATGTTTTGCTCCACTGAACTGCAGATCCATTTGGTGTCCGGAACATTTTTGTGTTTGTTGGAAATTTTCACCGCATACAAGACATTACCACCACACGATTGAGTACATGTAGCCTACAGATACTACTCCTCCTACCTGCATGATTTTGGCAGCAACAGGTTGCACCTTCTAAAGCAAGTACGGTACCGTCTCCCCCCGGATATACCCCCATGGGGGGCAATAATAAAACAGGTTTTTTCATGGGGGTGGGCTTATAATCGAGTAAATTTATAAGCGCCGGCGTTTCTAAAATGACATATATATTTTTTATATCTTTTAACACCAAACTGTAGGTCTCGTGCTTGCCTTTTCAATCGAGTCGAAGTTACATGGGATCGTCAGTGAAATTCTCGCGCGCGCGGGGAGATACACCCAATCTGACTCACATCCAGCTCCTAACAGGTCCTGCTGACTGGACCCGCATCCAGTGCAGGGTCCGAATGTGAAGGGAACCGAATCTGCAACATATCCGCCTGCTAAAGTAAAAATCGTTACAGCTTTTTGAACACATTTCAAATTTTAAAGTTTACGTGCGCTTATAATAAAACAAGTTTTTTCAAGGGGTGCGCTTATAATCGAGGAGGGGATATAAGCGCCATATGCCAATTAGAAGCGCCAGGCGCTTATCCTAGGGTGGCGCTTATATCCGGGGGGAGACGGTAGTTTGATGTTTTTGCTCATGACTCAGCATAATTAGTATGTGTGTGTGTCAAGTGGCTCAAGTCACAGCATGCGTATACATGTATAAAGGATTTTACATTGAATGCGAATGAGCACTTGTCCACCAAACATGTTTGCCTCAATGGTCCTGGTTTCAAGAATGACACAACATAACCTCTCCTGCAGTGAGAGTCAACGGTGGTAAAATTGAGTGCCATCATATGGTGTACGAGCCAATAAGTGTTGGAGGTGGACAACCCCCGGTCTCCATCCACATCAGTGCATTGTCCTCTGTTGAGAGAGGTGTGGTGGCGATGAGCTTGCTGACAGTTGCCACACATGGGGAGATGGTGAGGGAAAGGGAGGCAGAGGATGGGGGGAAATAGGAGGGAGGGTGAGGAAGGGCAGGGAAGGCAATGGTGGTAGTAGGGGATAGGTATACGGGGAAGGGGGTGAGGAAGACGAGGGACAGGGAGAAAGGCGATAAGGAGAAGGGAAACATAGAGAAGGGGGACAGAGAGAATATGAACTGAGAGGACGGGAGGATGAAAGGACAGAGGCATGTGAGGACAAGAGGACGAGAGGACAGGGGGACGAGAGGTCAGGGGGACGGGGGGATGAGAGGACGGGGGGATGAGAGGACAGGCGGATGAGAGGACGAGGGGATGAGAGGATGGGGGGACGAGAGGACAGAGGGATGAGAGGACGGGGGGATGAGAGGACAGGCGGACGAGAGGACAGGGGACGGGGGGATGAGAGGATGGGGGGAGGAGAGGACAGGGAACAGGGGGATGAGAGGACGGGGGCATGAGAATGAGAGGACAGGGGGATGAGAGGACAGGGGGATGAGGGGACAGGGGGGTGAGAGGACAGAGGGGTGAGAGGACGGGGGGATAAGAGGACAGGGGGATGAGAGGACGGAGGGATGAGAGGAGAGGGGGATGAGAGGAGGGGGGGATGAGAGGAGGGGGGGATGATAGGACAGGCGGACGAGAGGACAGGGGACGGGGGGATGAGAGGATGGGGAGACGAGACGACAGGGAATAGGGGGATGAGAGGACGGGGGGATGAGAGGACGAGTGGATGAGAGGACAGGGGACACGGGGATGAGAGGCCGGGGTAATGAGAGGACGGAGGGGTTTTTCGCGGGAGGGGAGGGAGGCCGGCGGGAGGGGGGATTCCCGAGCGACACGGAGGGCGATGGCAGGGGAAGCGTGGGCGACGGTGGGGGGAAGCGTGGGCGACGGTGGGGGGAAGCGTGGGCGACGGTGGGGGGAAGCGTGGGCGACGGTGGGGGGAAACGTGGGCGACGGTGGGGGGAAACGTGGGCGACGGTGGGGGGAAACGTGGGCGATGGTGGGGGGAAACGTGGGCGACGGTGGGGGGAAGCGTGGGCGACGGTGGGGGGAAGCGTGGGCGACGGTGGGGAGAAGCGTTGGCGACGGTGGGGAAAAGAGTTGGCGACGGTGGGGAATAGAGTTGGCGACGGTGGGGAAAAGCGTTGGCGACGGTGGGGAAAAGCGTTGGCGACGGCGGGGGGAAGCGTGGGTGACGGGGAGGAAGCGTGGGCCACGATGGGAGGAAGCGTGGGGGACGGTAAGAGGAAGCGTGGGCGACGGTAAGAGGAAGCGTCGTTGACGGTGGGCTGAAGCGGGGGTGACGGTCCGGTGAAGCGTGGGCGATGAGCGTGTGTGAATGTGGGGGGAGGCGTGCGCGATGGTCAGCGGAATTGTGGGTGCACCCAGGGAGCAGGAGGCAGCAACGGTAAAGGGGAAGCGTGAGAGAAGGTGAGGGAAAGGGTGGGGGGAAGCGTGGGCGTGTGCGTAGGGTACGCAGAAGGCGAATGTGATGTTTGAGGAAGGGCGATGCCAGGGCGACCGAGTGAGGCAACGCGATACACCGTGGCGTTGCTGTCATACCGAGGCGCTACGACTGGAAAATAAGTCGGGGTGTCTACATTGGCCGAGAGGTTGACGGCGGAGGCGGAAGGCTGGGGATACTTTCGCGACGCGCGAGCGTGTGCTTCTTTCTAAGCCTGAGACTACTACTCGCTGCAACGACACTTGGAGAGAACGTGGCGGTTGCGTTAGAGGAAACATAATGGCGGCGGCTCGGTTGCAACTAAAGTCGCCAAAGGTCCCTGATTCGTGTCTTTGAACAGAGCACTTAGACTGAAGATTGCCCGTATGTGACGGAGAACGACAACTAGCGTGCCTCATAATATGTGTGTCCAAGCGTTCCCGATGGTTATCAAGTTTACTCAAGGTGAATAGTGCTTAGGCGTTTTTCCTGCTTGTTGTTCCAGTTTATCGCTGGCCAATCACGGATCACCTCTGCTGCTTGAAACCGACGGATTGTTCTGAACCAGATGGTAACATGGTTATTCACGAAATCAACTTCAAGAAACTTGAATTTGAAAAATACCATGTAAAAATTGGGCTTTAATTTTGAACTTCTGCACCATAAGACACACGCCCATATTTTGGTCAACGGTATTGGCGGGTTTCCAGCCCACGCTTTCGCGGTTCAAGTTTCCATGTGTCTGGTTTCGCAAGCCCCAGTGGGACCCCGTCGTGGGCGACTTGTTGGACCTCATCGTGCGAGCCGCATAAAACATCGTCAATCGCAGAACGTGATGGTGCCAAACGTGTGCAACATTTCGAAAAGGGTTACAACTTCGTTGTGGCCGACAGGGTTGCTTACGGCGTGTTGCAATTTCTGGTGGACTGCATCGGCTCGGGACATTTGGAAGGCTCCAGGCAGGCGGGAGGCCAAACACGGGCACTGATTCGAGAAATAAAAGTTTCAAGATAGTGATTCAAAGAGTTATTTTCAAGGTAATACTAGGACATAGATTTTCTTTACGCGTCTTCTGTGAAAAATTTACGGCCTCTTGCGTTCCTGGAGCCTTCCCAAATCCGGGCCACGAGCCGAGCTGATGCAGTGCACCGTAAATTGCAACACGCCGTTAGGAGTTGATGGCAGAATTCGATTGCGGACAATGCGCAGAAATGTTCGCGAGCTTCGCATGCCTGCTACTACTTCGCAACAAATCCGTCGTCACAACTTGGGCCATTAGGATCTCACACGCCTTAAGATTTCTCGAGGTAGCAGCGGGCGCTGGTAGAAGCAAACCGACTGCTTGAAGTATACTCAAAGCTATGGAAGTGATTGACCGAACACGCGAAGTTTGCTTTTATCGACCGTACTACTTGAATTCATCGATTCTGTCGCGACGTCGATACTGCGCCTCCGCCTTCCCTGGCTCTTAGACTCGTGATTGCGCTGAACTTTCTTTGTTCCCCTGCGTTTATTAGAGTTTTCTTAGAATTTCTTTAGTCGGGACGGCGAGACACGTTATCGTCTGCTCGATATTTTCTCCACGCTAGTCGCTCCGTGCCTCAGCGTTCCCCAGCGAGCTCGCCGCATGGCGAGCCATACGGTTACGAACGCAGGTGCGTTTATAGATACGGACCAAACTGGCAACGACCCGCTGTCTGCTTTCAGGCGCAATGATTAAGCACCCTGTGCTCCCTAGCGCCCCTGGTCCGAACAGATGTTAGCATTTTGCGCCTCGCCTTCCTTTCCCACTCCTGCCTCCCTCTCCTTGCCCCCTCTTAGTCTGCGACCTTGTGCGTGCGATTTTTTGCAATAGCGTCGAGTCCCCCAGTGCCTCACCGAGGCGCGGTTGAGTTTTTTGAGCCGAACCCCCAGTGGCTCAACGGGGGGAGGCTTTGAGTGCATCAGTCATCCCAGCACACTAGCACTCGTAATCGACCTTGGTTGCGATGTGTCTTGCCTCCTCCGACCTTGTGCGTGCGTCTCTCATTCCTCACATGCCGTTCAATCCCCATGTAAATCCTTGCCTTTTTTTAAAAATTGTGATTATATCGAGTGGCAGCCACTCCTTTTCAAAAGGGCGGGAAGCTGTCAGAGAATGGGAGAGGCGTTCTGGAATGGCCTCGCGTGAGCCCTCCGCTACTCGCGCTGCTCAACGCGCTGCTGCTGGCGCTCGTCGTGGTCGAGGTGTGGCCGCAATTCGCGGGCGACGGGCCCACGTGGGGAACACGCGGCACGTGGGGTGTGCAGCAGCCAATAGAAGCGCTGCTGGGCTCGCCCGGTGTAGCAAGAGGACGTAACGACGCCAACAGGTTTGTAATCACTTTCAGTTTGAGTGAGTCGTGCATGACCCTGATTCGCCTTATGTGTAAAACCGTTCATTTCCGTGTTAATTCTTGTGTTGAGCTCGTAGCTCCACCAGGTCTGTAACCGTGTTGGTCCACTCAGTAACCCGTTGCTAAAATCCATTCCGCGCGCATTCAGCCCCCATCCCTCCCCCATGTGCGCATTCTGCCCCCATTTCTCCCCCATGTGCGCATTCCGGCCCATCCCTTCCCCATGGTGCGCCTTCCGCCCATGCCTTCCCCATGTGCGCATTCCGCCCCCATCCCTTCCCCATGTGCGCATTCCGCCCCCATCCCTTCCCCATGTGCTCATTCCGCCCCCATCCCTTCTCCGTGTGCGCATTCCGCCCCCATCCCTTCCTCATGTGCGCATTCCGCCCCCATCCCTTCCCCTTGTGCGCATTCCGCCCCCATCCCTTCCCCATGTGCGCATTCCGCCCCCATCCCTTCCCCTTGTGCGCATTCCGCCCCCATCCCTTCCCCATGTGCGCATTCCGCCCCCATCCTTTTCCCATGTGCGCATACAAGGTCCAACTTGGGGCCCATGCGCGCCTTCATCCCCATGCCACACATCCCGCCCCCATGCACGAGTCAAATACCAAAATCCATATCTACTCCCTTCTGTCTCATCTGTACTAACCTGTCATGTCACCCCTTTTCCCCCCGCCTCTTCCAACCCGCTCCTATTCCGCGCCCCTCCTCTGCGCCCCTCCCCCGCGCCCGTCCTCCGCGCCCCTTCTTCCGCGTCTATCTCGTCTCCTCGTGCCGCATTCCATTGGCAGTAGCGCCACACGAGCACCGTCACACGCTGCAGACCGTCCATCCAATGCCGCCCATGCTCCATCCTATGCCGCCCTGGAGCAGGACATTTGCTGGTCATCAGGTACTAAGATCTTTCCCTCATCTGCTTCTTGAGCCGACTAGAAAGTCCTCTAGCCGGTGTAAAAGTCAACTCCTCCATCCAATGCCTCCCTAGCACGGGACATTCGGTGGTCATCAGGTACTATGTGCTTTGCCTCACCTTCCTTTTGTCTTTGCTCACCCGCTCGCTTGCATGTGTTTTGCCTTCACCAGCTTTCTGTGGTGCATCTTTGCTCGTTCGCTTCCTTCACTATGTTCTCGCGTTGCTTGAATTAAGATAGTGCGAGGAGTGCTAGAGGCAGTGCGAGGAGTGCTAGAGGCAGTGAGAAAGCAAGCAACTGACTCATAGACACCCCGCTACCCCCTTTTTGCCCGAATCCCTCACAGAACCCGTTGTTACCAGCAGCATACGACCACAAGCAGCAACAGGAGAAGCAGCAGCAGCAGCAACAACAGGTGGGGTGGTGGTGGACGGGAGGGGTTGCAGCCGCTGCGTGCGGGGCGAGCAGTGCAGCTTTCACGTGTGGGTGCGCCCGCCTGCTCGCTGGGTGCTGCCCCCTGTGGCTCCTGCGAGCAGTGAACAGGAGAACGGCGCAGAAGGGGGGAATAAAGGAGAGGGGGAGAGCAGCAGCGGCAGCAGCATGGAGGCGAGCTGGTGGAAGAAGGATGTGACGCTGTCTCTGCTGGGGCCTGCCCTGGGCCACGGGGAGGTGCAGTGCCTCGACCCCCCTGCCTGCTCGCACCTCCGCATCTCCTACCGCCTGTGGGATGCGGGGACATACAGGTGAGAGCCCAGCTGGTGGGAGAATGACAGTGTTTGCTCCTTGAAGGACCCTTCCTTGGGCCATACGGAGGTGCAGTGCCTCGACCTCCGCGCCTGCTCGCACCTGCTCGTCTCCTACCGCCTGTGGGATGCATGCACTTACAGGTGAGAGCCCAGCGAGTACTTGCACGCACAGGTGGGGGAACGAAGTGTACAGGTGGGTCAAGCACTGGTGGTGCTGGCACAGGCACGCACTGTTGGTGCAAGCACAGGCATGCACTGGTGGTGAATTTTGAGTCGACTCAAAAGTCAACGTGGTGCAAGCACAGGCATTCACTGGTGGAGCAAGCACAGGCACGCACCTTCTCGTCTTCTTTGGTCGCTGGGGATCTACAGGAGTGAGTGGGACGGACACCATTCGCTGCCTCGATCAGCTCAGCCATGCTCCAGCCATTGCGGCCCACGTGCTGCCCACGTGCTGCTCCAGGTCTCCACCTGCTTCACCGTTTTTGCCTATCCTGCCTGTGCTCCTGCGCCACTTGCTGTCGATGCCCCCCTACCCCTCCTCCTGCTCCTCCTCCTCTCCCCCTCCATCCCCCGTCTTCCTCTTCCTCCTCCACTGCCTCCTCTCACTCACACTCCCCCCTTCTCTCACATTCTCTGCTGTTCCCCTTCCCCCCCTTTGGCTCACCTCTTTTCCCCTCCCCACGCCCCCCCGCACTCTGCACATGCCCGTCTGTCCCCACCCCCACTCCCCACTGCAGTGCAACACTCCACGTGGGTTGCGCCAATCTCAACTTCTCACCGGCCTTTGCCGCCCATTTCAACTCCACCTACCGCCATGACCTTGCCACGTGGAGCCTCTCCATTGGCTGGCCAGAATCAGTTTCTCAGAAGGTTCCTGGCTCTGCAGGTGCTCCTGCAAAAGCTGTTGATGCTGCTGCAGGTGATTCTGACGAATCTGCTGTTAGTGGCGCTGATGATGCTGGTGATAGTGGTGATAGTGGTGATGCTGCTTATTCCAGACCTGCAGATGCTTCTGATTCGGGGGCTGCAGCTGCTGCTGATGTTGATGATGGTGGTGACAGTGCTGCCAGGTCATCATCAGAAGATAGGGTCCTTCTGGATGACGTGGCAGCTGGTGATGAGGCACTTGGAGAAGGCGATACAACCTCCCCAGATACCGCCAACCCAAATGCCACCCCCCCAGATGCTGCCTCTCCCAGCAAGCTACCCTCTCCCTGTGCACTCTCCTCCATCCCCGGTCGGTGGACCAAGGCACGCAGTGGCAAGTACATGTGAGTCGCCTCCCTCGCCCCCTGCCTCGCCCCTCTCCCCTTCATGTCCCCACGCCATGTGTCCCCTGTGTGGCAATCTGGTCAGTCCACCAGCAAATGAACGGCTGGGATTGTGCTTTCTGCTGCATGCACTGCTGCATCCCTCCCTGGGTGGTGCCAGAAGGCACACAGCAGCAAGTTCATGTGATGTGAGTAGCTGTTTGCCTTCTGGTGGCCTTGCTGCCTCACGAATTCCTTGCACCCTCCCTCCCTCACTCTCTCACTACCCGTCACCCACATCCCTCTCCCCCTTCTCTCCCGCACCACTGCAGCTGGGCCTTCTTCCCATGCGCACCAGCAGCGTCACCTCCCAGCCGTTGGATCGAGCAGCTGGCAAGCAGGGGAATCCGCGAGATTAACATAGTGGGCGATTCCCACCAGCGGGTGCTGGCGCTGCACCTGCACTGGCTGCTGTCGGGGGAGGCGGACAAGCGGATTCGAAAGGGACATTTAGACTTCAGCAAGGAGTCGCGGAATGAGAGGAACGAGACGATGAGGATCAACTTCTACTGGGTGGATGGGATTTACCGGAATGATGAGTTTGGATGCAGGTGCGTGTGGCGCTGGGTGGATGGGAGGGTTGTCTCTGGTGAGGGAGGAATAGGTGGAGGAATGAGATGATGAAAATCAATTTCTATTGGGTGGATGGGATTTACCAGGATGGCGAGCTTGGATGCAGGTGCGTGTGATTGCTGAGTTGGGGGGGGGGAATGGGAGGGGATCGAAGGGTGGGCTGGGAGAAGGAGGAACGATGGTGACTGGCAGTGTGTGCTAATGATGATGCATGGAATAGCGTGGAAGGAATGATACTGGAATATGGTGTGCTGGGAGCTGAAAGTAGTTGAATGAGTGGGGCAGGGCAGTGCTGCTAATGAACTTATGCCGGATGGATGGGATTAACCTCAAGAATTGGTCTGGCTGGTGTGTTTTTTAGTAGATGGGACACGTGTGATTGCATCTGCACGCACCTGTGCGCATGCGTGCATTATTTTGAGTAATGCTGTCTCAACCTTCCCCCCACTCACCTGCCCCTCTTCTCTCTGCTCCCCCCACGCTCCCACTCAAAACCCCTCTATAAACCGCAGTCATCGGGGAATCTACACCCATCGCAACACCGCATTCCCAACCAACGTATCCACCACAGCTGACGTTACCCTTCTAGAAGCAGGCTACTGGATGAACAAGTGGTGCACAGAGCCAGTCCAAGCCATGCGAGCCCACCTCCCAGAGTACCTCAATTGGGGATTGCAGTTCGCCGCCCAAACCGGGAAGCCAATAGTGTTGCGCACGGCGCCTCCAGTGCCGAACGGGGGCGATCATTGCTTCGTGGGATCGTATCCCGGGCCAGCTACGAACCTGGCACTTATGGAGATCAATCGGTTGATGCGTCAACTTACAGCGGGTGGTAAGGTATATGGTGGAGGTGCTAATGGGTTAGGTAAGAAAAGAGCAGATAGTGCAAATGAAACAGGTTACAGCGAAGCTGATGCGGACCCAGCTGAACCATGGGACGACGCGTCAATATCGAGAGCCTTTACTGTGGATGAGATGAGGCAGGTCTCGACGGTGCCGGTGTTTGATTCGTGGAAGATCGAGGCTCCTCGGTACATGGACGTGTGTCCAAAGAAGGACCACCACTATTCATGCTATCGAGAATTTGCGAACAGAAAAGCAGAGATTCGAGGTCCAGTGGGGGAGGCTGTTGCGCGTGCATTGGTACACTTCCTACTCCACACGTTGTAATTTATTATTTCATTGATTGTGTATCCCATCGTTCTCACCAAACTGTATCCTTGTGTGCCATACTCGCCAGGGCTCAAATTTGCAGTGTAATTTACCCTTCTATACTGATAATAAGGGTGAAATTTGAAGTCTACACTGATGGGCTGGGGTATTTTTTTGGTGAATTAGTGTTACACTGATCTGTAAGTGTATCGTTGTAGGCCACACTGATGCCTTGGGGTAAATTTCTAGTTATCGAAGATTACACTGAAGGGCGTACAGGGACCACCCCCCTCCCCCCCTCCCCCCCCCCCCCCCCCCCCCCCACCCCTTTCTTTTCCCCGAGATTTGTCAAATCGTGATTTCCGTCAATCACGCAAGTACCGAGGTTACCTTCCGTTCAGTACCGTATCACCTCGGATAGTAGCGCATATGCGCTTATAATTGAGGAAAGGGCATACCGTAATCCCCCGGATAAAAGACCCTAGGGTCTGTTATTGATTTCACAAAAAAATGTGGGGGGTCTTATTAAAGGGTAAAAAACCTATAAGACCCGGGTCTTATACGAAGTGCTATGTTTTTTACAATATAATGAAATGCTTGGGTGTTGTAATCCAGATTTGCGTTTTTTTAACGAGGAAAACCCTCGTGAATGTCCATGAAGCATCTGAATGCTTCATGCTCATTGGCCCATATTCATGTCAAAGTTAGAAGAAAGAAAGAGAGTTGAACTAGCAAGAATGAGGATACAAATAGCAAACCCTAGAAGGGTTGTACTCGCTATAGAGCACCCCACTACAGGCTAGAACAATAAGATAATATTCTGACACACCCCCATAGCCAAAGTGGGGTGTAATCAGCAGAGCAGGCAAAGCAAAACAAGCTCAGGGTGGATCACAATGTCACCACACATTCTGAGCACAAGTTCAAGAAGAAATAGTTAAGAGTTTACAATTATAAGCAAAGCTAGTGGTAGTCACAACGGGCAAGTGAGGAGGAGGAGGGAGAGTGAGGGGAGAGGAGACAGGAGGCGACGGCTGAAGCTGCAGACACACGGGCAACAGGAGGCAGACTGGCACAGCGGCTACCGGACAGCGCCCGGACTACAGGAGTAACAGGCCCCGCGGCTCAAATAGCGGCGGACGGGCAACGGACCCACGGGCGGCTGGCACAGCTGGCTACGACTGGGCTACCGGGACAGCGCCCCGGACTACAGGTGCTGCTGACGACAAACTGGCAACCTCCGCTCATCCTCCCGCACACAGTCCCACCCCCCTGATACACACCCACTGCTACACCACTAGCTCTACTCCCACACACCCCCCTTAAACCCTAAACCCAGTCTCCCACACAACCACCCCCCTCAGCGACAGCTACAGCAGTGGGAGACGAAGGAGGAGGAGGAGAAAGGGAGGAAGGCACACCGACCACCCCCATACCCGCCACCCCACAGCTCGCCCCTCCCGTCGTCCGTCGTGGCGACCTGAGGGGGCCGCAAGCGGCCCCCTCAGGTCGCCACGACGGACGACGGGAAATGGTAGGGGGAGGGGGGGGGGGGGGGGGGGGGGGGGGGGGGAGAGTGGGGCCCACGACGGACCTGAGAGGAGAGCGGGGCCGCGACAAGGGGCGGGGCCGCTTCGAAGGGACGGGGCCGCGACGCAGGGCGGGGCCGCGACGTAGGGCGGAGCCGCGACTGTAGGGCGGGGCCGCGACGAGGGCGGGGCCGTGTCGGTCGGGGCGGGGCCGCGACGTAGGGCAGACGCCCGCGAAGGTGGGGCGGGGCCGCGACGGTCGGGGCAGGGCCGCTTCGAGGGGCGGGGCCGCGACGCAGGGCGGGGCCGCGACATAGGGCGGGGCCGCGTTGAGGGGCGGAGCCGCGACGAAGGGCGGGGCCGCGACGTAGGGGAGAAGCCCGACGTAGGGCGGGGCCGCGACGTAGAGCAGACGCCCGCCGCACGCCTCGGGGCGCACAGCGGGCAAAGAACCGCCGCGCGCCCTAGGGCGCACGGCGGGCAGAAAACCGCCGCGCGCCTCGGGGCGCACGGCGGGAAGGAAAAAAAATCGCCGCGCGCCTCGGGGCGCACGGCGGGAAGGACAGGTAGCAGCGGAAGCAAGGTGGGGACACACCCACAGGATCGATCCAAGGGGATCGACCTGCTCTGATAGCATGTCAAAGTTAGAAGAAAGAAAGAGAGTTGAACTAGCAAGAATGAGGATACAAATAGCAAACCCTAGAAGGGTTGTACTCGCTATAGAGCACCCCACTACAGGCTAGAACAATAAGATAATATTCTGACAATTCAATGGTAACCAGGTGTTGAGAGGCTGCCTTGATTGTATTTTGTGACTCTTGTGGCCGAACATGTGCCACTACTTGCTTAAAACCGAAATATGGAATAGTGAACCCCGTCCCAGCTTGAAAGGGTCTTCCAGAGTGGGTTTGCATAGGACTGTTTCAAACATTTCGTGTGTGCAGATCGAAGCCATTTGATTGGCTCCCGCCAAAAACGAATTTTTTGGGCCTTAGGGCGTATTCCTACGACCTCCTATCAAGAATCCTCCTATCAAGAATGTAGTTCTCGCCTGTAAATTTGCAAGATCGCGCAACCTCCTATCAACAAAACTTGACGGTTTCCCCACATGTGCGACCCAAAACAAACGCTGATGTGGCACGCTGCGACCCAGGTTGATCAAATAAAAAAAGCACCACGTAAGCACGTAGTGTGCCAAGGGGACAAGTCAACAAACATCTCGCGAACACATGCCCATGCACGCCACAACCTCCCATCTATTCGTAGAAATAGTACAAACGCTCGCAGCTTACTGCAATCCTGCTAATAGTGCCTACCACAACGACTATGACGGACGTTCCTTTCCTGCCTAGGTTGTTTATAGTATGGCACGCCTTTTATTACGACACATTCCAAAATAGTGCCATCCAGTCTTGCATTAAGTTCCTCGAGCAGATAAGCAATGCGGAAGAAGATACCGTCGTAGTGACGAGGAGTGAATTACGTGCTCGAAACCGAAGCTTACGGCGGCGCCGCTTAGGCGTGTGGGAGGACGAAATGGCGACGATGCCCGAGGAGGTGTTCATCGACTTGTTCCGCATTAATCGCGCTATTCTGGAATACGTATGTCAAGGAATGGCTCACGTGCTCAACCCCGTCATCCAGCGCCATCGCATTCCAATTACAGTGGCCGTGCTCATACCAATCAAGTATTTCGCAAGCGCGATGGCGTATGTGGACCTGGCTTTCTGGTTCGGTGTGCCAAAAACCCTGTGCCATCACCTCGTAGACCTCTTCCTCTTAAACTTTCCCACCGTTTTCAAAGCGGCCTGGGTACGTTTCCCGACACAGGATGAAATGCGTGACATGGCTGAAGAGTTCCGGAATATTAAAGGGGTGCCAATGGTTGTAGGTGCTATTGACGGCACACATGTCCAGATTCGGGGGATGGAGGGGCATCGGGCGGAATATTACACGCGAAAATCACAATATGCCGTGCAACTACAAGTGACATGCGACGCTAAAGGAACCATCTGGGATTACCTAATAGGCTATCCAGGCACCGCCCATGACCAGCGGGTGTTCGTCCTGTCTAGCCTCTATGAGCGACTACGAAGAGGTGACCTCGCACCGTACCAGCTGGTAGGAGACGCCGCCTACCCGCTCCGCAGCTACTGCTTGACGCCATTGCATGCTCCCACTGGCCGCCTCATGCTCGAGTGGGAGCAGACCTTCAATTACTGCCAGTCCGCGACTCGCATGCCCGTGGAGCGAACCATTGGTGCGTTGAAAGGACGGTACCGCCTATTTGCCGGCCGTCACGAGTGCGCGTTATGGCGGGTCCTTGCCGGCGCCAGCTGTGTTGTCATACTGCACAACATGGGCATCAAGATGGCAACTTCCAGGATGAGAACAATCAATCACACGTGGGCTGCGCGGCTGATCAACCAAGACCCATGGTGGACGAGAGGAGAACTTGCACGGTATAATTGGTGCGCCGATCTTGCCGTCACTACACACGATCTCAAGGAGAGGAGGAAGAGGCTCGGGGAGGCGCTGCATGTGGAATACCTTAAGCGACGTCGGACCGGCGATGCCACACCTCCACGTCGTCGGTGACTTCATCAGCGGCGTCGGTATTGTAGCCGGTCGGCCCTGATTCATCCGCTGGGTTGCTTCCAAAGTTGAGGGGACGGCTTGTTGTTGATTGTTGGGAGGCCATCCACTTGCGTATGACTCCGGTGATTTGTGTTACGCCTTCCTGGGAGCACTTTGTGAATGTGTCGGCCAACAGTTGAGCAGCTGCCATGGTCGCCGTCTCATTAATACGGCGTCGTGCATGGGGCGGGGTGTTACGAACTAGGGATAAGAGCGGGGAGGGTTACGGGGTAGAAATGAATAGCAGCACAAGCAGTCATTCTTTTGTGGTGTAAGCGACATTACATAACATTCCGTCAACTTTTTCACGCTCGGATTTTCAACTTGCTATAAATTGGCCTAGCATTCAACACACATACCAGGTGTTGTTGTGGCAGCAGTAGTCGGCGGCTTTGGAACCTTGACGCCAGGGTCCACTGTCACGTTAACTGCACCGCCACCATCCAGAGCGTGAGGCTCGGCAGCAGCAGTGTCTTCGTAAAACAGCACCATCCACTGCCACCACGGCGGCTTTATCACCGTTCCGCCTCCAGATGCCGAATCCCCGATCTCGATATGCTTCCATAGCGCTTTAAGTCGCTTCCACTGATTGACGCAGGCGGTGGCATTCCTGCACCAATCGGGATGCTGCTTCTTAATGTGTTCGATGAGGCGCAACCAATACTGCGACCCCTGTTTTCCCGTCATTTGGTTGAGCTCCTCCTTGGTGAACCATCGCGCGGCGCACAATATGGTGGACTCTTTGGCCGTCGATTCCGATTTCGGGCCTGTGCCCAAACAGTCGGCATTATTCGCGCCAGCAGGGTGACTGCCCTTTCCCTTCCCGCGAGCCTCGACGCGGCTGCTGGAGCCTCGTTTCTCTGCTGCCGCGGCCGGCGCCACAGGGCGATCATCACGCGGGCCACTATATTCCGCGTCGCCACACCACGCCTCGTCCGGTTCTTCGAACTCGAAATCCTCGTCGTCGTCGCCATCCGCAGTGTCCTTGTCCGTGTCGTCCTCGTCAGTGTCATAGTCGACTTGCAGACCGATATTACTGGTCCCGGGCGTGGCGCGAGGTGTGATGGGTGACTTTGCGGGGGGCTGGCCTACATTGCGCAACGGCTTTGCTGTGGGTCTACCATTCGCGAGTTCGGCGTTCATCCACGCCACATATGCAAGATCCTCTGGCCGCCATAATTGTTCGTCTGCCT